TCGCTAAACACTAAACCCACAAACCGCCGAACAAACTCGAGGACCGAAGCCTGGAGGTTACTATAGGGTTCTATAGTAGGGTTCCATTTAAGGTGTACTACATGGTTCTATAATCGAGTCCCATACATAGGCACCAATAGAAGGCCCTATCCCTGGAAAGTAAGGCCACTACGGGCACGATCGCGGCCATCGATCCTGGATGCACCTGCAACGGTCTAAGGCATTTCATATAGGGGCGATGACGAAAAGAAAAGGGTTTTGGGGCATCTTAACTAAATTCAAAATAGGGACCCTCCAAGTTAGTATAGGCAAGAATAAAGGTCCAAATGTAGTTTAGGCTTGAGTTACAGTAAGCTACCGGTAGCAGTAACACACAATACTTGCACTACAACTCTATTCTGGTAACTTAGATTCAATCGCCGAGCAGTGCTGAGTTGTCCTTTGAGCCCTTTGAAAACCATTTATTAATATGGTTCTCTACAAAACTGTAGGGAAAATGAGAACATAAGATCCCAAAGGACAACCCAGAGTGTAATAGAGGCTCTTATACACCGGATGTTTGGCCAGGAATTGTCCGATCTTCGAGGGTCCCGGCAGTTCAGGGCTGCTACATCCGAGCACAGTTTTGACTAATGTAGGAACCTAAGGGTTCCCTTAAAGGGGTCTATAAGGGTAACTATCAGGGATCTGTAAGGCTACTGTAATAGTGTAGGAACCTGATTAAGAAACCTTGGGCCTTTATTGGGGCTCCTTACATGAAGCCTACTATTTTGGGGTTATAGGCCGGGTTTCTTAATCAGGTTCCTACATTAGTCTTGTCTACTGTACCGTGTGGCTTCCAGTGGCAAATGCCCCAGCCCCACAAAAACTCAACTGGCCGGCGCCTCTGTCTGAATCCGCCCCTGCTTCTTGTCAGCGCAAGTCTTTCCACAAGCCCTAAAACTAAAACTAAACTCTCTGGATCCTAAAACTAAAGACCCCAAAAGCTGAAACACCTAAAACCCTAAACGCTGAAAGCCTAAACCCCCAACCCTAAAACCCTGAACCTTGTAGGCCCCGAAGCCCAGGCTCTCGCGGAAGAGAAAACCGGGATTGGAAGCCCCTAAAGCTGTAAGGCTCAGCGCTGATGCTTAGCATTTGTAGTTCTTAAGGCTCAGCTTTTGGGATTCCATTTTAGGTACAGGGTGGCGGAGGAAAGGCTAGGGTGTAGCGTTTCCACGTTCCGGGCTTTGATTCACCAAGAAGTCCACGTGCGGTGCGCCTCTAATGTCCCAGCCTTGGCATCTTCCTGTCATGCACCGGTCTAGCGATTGGGGTTTAGGATCTTGGGTGGTTGTCAACATTACGTTCCCTTTTTTGGGTACCCTAAATATCAGGTGCCGTATTAAAATAAGGACCCAAAAAGAGACTAAGGACGGAACTTGGCTTCGGGGCTTCCGGTTTAGGGTTCGGGCCTTGGGGCTCATGGTACCTATTGAAGGGCATTTGGCGGAGGGGGCCTGGTAATTTTGGGTTTAGAGTTCAGGGTTGTGGGTTTAAGCATGGCTCTCAACTCTAAGCTCTGTGTAGCGCCCTCTGGAGGAGAAGATCTACAGCCCTAAGAGCACAAAGCCCTACCACTCGATTGCTACCAGGAACTCTATCCTCTGCAAGTTAAGGAATAGCCCAGATTAAGGTTTATGGTCAGGGTTTAGGGTTTAGGGATTAGGATTTAGAGTGTAGGGCTTCGGATTTAAGGTATCCCATGCAAGGAAAGGTTTCTGAGCACGGCACCCTTGCAACAAAGAACTTGCAACTTCCGGGCCAGCCCGTAAACCCTGAAGAGAAGGCTCAAACCACCCAAAACCGCAGAATCTGGAACCCCCAAACTCCTCGCCTGAAGAAAGGCCACGTGAAATCCCCCCAAACCACACCAAGAAAACCCACAATCGAAATCCTCGAAAGAAGCAAAACAAATCCTAGGTTCCTGAGTAGCCGCTTTATGAAAAGGGTATCTTTCCTCGTGCGATTGGGTTTTGAGAAAGCAGCCCAAAAGAAAAAGTCCAAAAGGTGACAACTCCCTAAATCCTGGACCCTAAACCGAAATCCTCGAAAGAACCAAAACAAACCGCTCGCACCCAGTAGCGGCCTTCGCTTGTCTACTCCTAGCCTGCAGAACCAGCATGGGCCTTGCAAAAAGAGGCTTTTGGTTCAGAGCTTAGAGTCTAAGGTTTAGAGTTCAGGGTTTCGGGCTTAAAAAAAAAAGTTTGGAGTTTCGGGTCTAGAGTTTAAGGTTTTTCAGTTTAGGGCTCTACGGTTTAGGGCTTCGAGTTTTTGTGTTTTACGGCTCGGGGCTTGGAGTTTGATTAAGGTTTTTAGGGTTTAGAGTTAAGGGATCCTCCAAATTTTGAGGCCCCAAAGAGATTTCAGGGTCTACTTGGGAGGTTCACGGCTAGTTATCAGTGAGGTTTATAGGTAGGGCTGATGATATAAATCCTGCATTACCTTAAGGATCCTAACCTACGGGAATTATGGTATACTTCTTATTCTGGGTAGTGCAGGATTTATATCATCAATAAACCCTAAACCCTAAACCCTAAACCCTAAACCCTAAACCCTAAACCCTAAACCCTAAACCCTAAACCCCTAAACCCTAAACCCTAAACCCTAAACCCTAAACCCTAAACCCTAAATAGGGTATCTCCAGCTCTAACTCACATCAAGCGACTTACAACTCCACTTGTAACTACCCATGGAGCCCCCAACGAAGGATCTACGGCTGATGATATAGATCCTAGGGCTCCTTTAAAGGGATCTATAAGGGTACCTTTAAAGGGCTCCTTTAAGGGATCCATAGGGTTTTAGGGTTTAGGGATATAAATCCCGCATTACCCATGATCATGAATATGCCATAATTCCCATAGTTTAGGGTCATTAAGGTAATGCAGGATTTGTATCATCAACCGTATGGAGCTGTTGAACATCCCTTGCAAGGCTAAAACAAGCTTCAAATGGCTTTTCCGGGGCTGCATAGGTAGCCTGAGAAAGGTTTACGAGGATTTACAGTTCTTTACAGGGGCTGGCGAGAAGCTTTATACGGGACGTGTGGGGTTCCATAACAGTTTTATAAGGGCTTGGAAGGGTTTCGTGTTTAGAAGTTGAGGTATGTATGGTTGCCAACGCAAAAGAAGAAAGTGTAGCATCGTGGCACATCAGCGCCCGGCCTTCAGGAAAACGATTACTTAGAGGATCATGGGACTTAGTAAGTAGGTTATAATCGGGGTTATAAGTCCCCTAACTGGGGTTATGCTAATTATAACCTACTTATAACCTTACTTACTACGTCCCATGAGCCTTCAAGTATGAACCCGCTATGAGGGCACATCTACAACCGCCAGAACCTGAACCATCCAGGTCGCGCACGGGAGGTAAACAGCTATAAGCACCTCGGCGGCAAGGGCCGTTCCATGAAAGGCTGGAGCGGTTTTATAAGAATCTGGAACCCTAAACCTGAGCCCTAAACCCTAAACCAGAGCAGTTTTATAGGAATCTAGAACCCTAAACCTGAGCCCTAAACCCTAAACCAGAGCAGTTTTATAGGAATCTAGAACCCTAAACCTGAGCCCTAAACCCTAAACCAGAGCAGTTATAGGAATCTAGAACCCTAAACCTGAGCCCTAAACCCTAAACCAGAGCAGTTATAGGAATCTAGAACCCTAAACCTGAGCCCTAAACCCTAAACCAGAGCAGTTTTATAGGAATCTAGAACCCTAAACCTGAGCCCTAAACCCTTAACCAGAGCAGTTTTATAGGAATCTAGAACCCTAAACCTGAGCCCTAAACCCTAAACCCTAAACAGTCCAACTCTAAACCCCTTGACTGTGAGGGTTCTTGCGGGATTCTATCAGGACTGTGCAAGAGCTCGCCCTCACTTCGAGCAAACCCCAACCGGGGCTAAGACTAAGCCGGTTCAGTTAGGGTTTAGGAGTTTGAGCTTAGGGTTCAGGGTTTGCGGGTTCAAGGTTGGGTTTCAGGTTTAAGCTTGAGGGTTGAGGTACTTTTTCCGCTCCTATCACGTTCCCAATCGAAGCGGATTTAAGCACCAGTTGTTGAGGTCCCTGTTCGGAAAGAAGAACGTTCCAAATTGTGGCGGGATTACATTCTGCGACACACATGGCCAGTTGTCAAAATTATCCTTATTATAGTACGGCACCTAATATTTAGGGTACCCAAAAAGGGGACCATAATTGTGACAACCACCCACAAATCTCCCCCGAAAAAAGGGGTTCGATATGAGATTGGGATTTTAGGGTACGAGTCCTTCTGCTATAGTAAGGAGAATTTCAGGAAAAAGTAGTGGTGAATACTCAAGCCCCAACATTACAACTGTTCAGGAGGGGGTGGTTTCAGGGTTTCGGGTTCGGCAAAGATTTTAGCAAGGCTCCATTACGGCAGCATAAGAGATCAAAAACTAGACAGTGCCTTCAAGGCTTCAGGGATCATACTTGACCTTCCAGCTTTCTGCGCCGAACACGGCTGCAACTACCTCAGCCTACCGTGTCCCTGCACCCCAGGTGCAGCCGTGCTCTAGAGAAGCACTGTGCTGACCCGCACGGTGGCTTCGGCAGACGCCAAGAGAGCCTAAAACTCCATTATCGAGGAAGGTATAGCGTGCTTCATATTATGATTTGACGTACGCTCTGATTGAGGGGTATTGGGCTCTCTGAGCAATGTCTGCCGCCCACGGGACGACCCGCGTGCCCGAGTTGGACTCTGTACACAGCTGGTGCCGTAAACCGCTGGAACCTATATCTCTTGCCTACTTACAAAGAAGTTGGAACATGATAACGAGACAGGACGCAGAGAATCCTAGTTCAAACCATCCCTCACTCCTTCTCCAAAAAACCCAAACTAGGAGGTGCTTTTAAAGCCTTCGAAAATATTAGCAGGTAAGATCCTCTTAAGCCCAATACGAGCAAATATAAAATGTCACAAAGCCCTACCTCGAAAAACTAAAGTCTCTAGAGTTTGCTGTAGACGCTGCGCCGAGCAAGCTCTGCCTGCAGAGCGGCTTCCAAGTCGAGCTCGCCAAGCTCATTTGCTGCCCACACGGACACCTGGCATGGTAAGAGAACCCTAAAGCCTGCTACTCAGCAGAAAAACCGAAATAAAAAGAAGAAGAAGAAGAAGAAGACTAACAATAATAATAATAATAATAATAATAATAATAATGGTAATAATAATAATAATAATAGCGACAGCTATATTGATAATATAGACCCCAAGCACTCCGAAACACTAATTACCTAGTTTTCACAGAAACTTTCCACCTCCAGATGTGGTACTGCCATGGCAGCTGCTGTCCGAAGACTCTTGGAGGTAATCGACGGTATGAAGTTAAAGAAATCCGATACATCGGAGCGCTGCAGGAGTGCGGCAGCCCACAGGCAGTTGGACAAAGCCGACGGATCCATGCTCTCCACTTTCGTCTGCATGCACTTTGCGAGCGATGGCACAGCTTGAAGGACCTCCGGCGCGGCTTCCTGCAGCTTGGCAGCAGCCCACAGGCAGTTGGACAATGCTGAGGGGTTCATGCCCTCCACTTTCGTCCGCATGCACTTTGCGAGCGATGGCACGGCTTGAAGGACCTCCGGCTCTGCTTCCTGCAGGCTGGCGGCAGCCCACAGGCAGTTGGACAAGTGCTGCGGAGTCATGCTCTCCACTTTAGTCTGCATGCACTTTGCCAGCGATGGCACAGCTTGAAGGACCAGAGGCTCTGATTCGTGAAGACGCGTGGCCGCCCAAAGACAATTTGAAATTGCCTGGGGATCCATGCATTCCACCTTCTGGACTATGCCCTCTGCGAGCGATGGCACAGCTTGAAGGACCTCCGGCTCTGCTTCAAGCAGCTTGGCAGCAGCCCACAGGCAGTTGGACAAGTGCTGCGGAGTCATGCTCTCCACGTTCGTCTGCATGCACTTTGCGAGCGATGGCAAAGCTTGAAGGACATCCGGCGCGGCTTCCTGCAGCTTGGCAGCAGCCCACAGACAGTTGGACAATGCTGAGGGGTTCATGCTCTCCACTTTCCTCCGCATGCACTTTGCGAGCGATGGCACGGCTTGAAGGACCTCCGGCTCTGCTTCCTGCAGGCTGGCAGCAGCCCACAGGCAGTTGGACAAGTGCTGTGGAGTCATGCTCTCCACGTTCGTCTGCATGCACTTTGCGAGCGATGGCACAGCTTGAAGGACATCCGGCGCGGCTTCCTGCAGCTTGGCAGCAGCCCACAGACAGTTGGACAATGCTGAGGGGTTCATGCTCTCCACGCTCGTCCGCATGCACTTTGCGAACAATGGCACGGCTTGAAGGACCTCCGGCTCTGCTTCCTGCAGGCTGGCAGCAGCCCACAGGCAGTTGGACAAGAGCTGCGGAGTCATGCTCTCCACTTTCGTCTGCATGCACTTTGCCAGCGATGGCACAGCTTGAAGGACCTCAGGCTCTGATTCCTGCAGCTTGGCGGCAGCCCACAGGCAGTTGGACAAGTGCTGCGGAGTCATGCTCTCCACTTTCGTCTGCATGCACCCTGCGAGCGATGGCACAGCTTGAAGGACCAGAGGCTCTGATTCGTGAAGACGCGTGGCCGCCCAAAGACAATTTGAAATTGCCTGGGGATCCATGCATTCCACCTTCTGGACTATGCCCTCTGCGAGCGATGGCACAGCTTGAAGGACCTCCGGCTCTGCTTCAAGCAGCTTGGCAGCAGCCCACAGGCAGTTGGACAAGTGCTGCGGAGTCATGCTCTCCATGTTCGTCTGCATGCACTTTGCGAGCGATGGCACAGCTTGAAGGACATCCGGCGCGGCTTCCTGCAGCTTGGCAGCAGCCCACAGGCAGTTGGACAGTGCTGAGGGGTTCATGCTCTCCACTTTCGTCCGCATGCACTTTGCGAGCGATGGCACGGCTTGAAGGACCTCCGGCTCTGCTTCCTGCAGGCTGGCAGCAGCCCACAGGCAGTTGGACAAGTGCTGCGGAGTCATGCTCTCTACTTTCGTCTGCATGCACCCTGCGAGCGATGGCACAGCTTGAAGGACCAGCGGCTCTGATTCGTGAAGACGCGTGGCGGCCCAAAGACAATTTGAAATTGCCTGGGGATCCATGCATTCCACCTTCTGGACTACGCCCTCGGCGAGTGATGGGACAGCTTCGAGGATGTCTGGCTCTGCTTCCTGCAGCTTGGCGGCAGCCCAAAGGCAGTTCGACAAGTGCTGAGGCTTCATGTCGAAACTCCTCTGCGGTATGCGCTTGGCGAGTGATGGCACAGCTTTCAGCACCTCCGGCTCTAATTCCTGCAAACGCGCGGCAGCCCAAAGGCAGTTCGACAAGTGTTGAGGAACCATGCTCTCAACCGTCTCTGGTATGCACCTTGCGAGCCATGGCACCGTCTGCAGGACCTCCGGCTCTGATTCGTGCAGCTTGGCGGCAGCTCGAAGGAAGTTCGACAACGCCCGAGGATCCATGTCTGCGCCCTTGCGAGGGCGAGGGAACCTCCTTGGCAGAACTGCTGAAGTTTAGGAATCAGCTCGCTGTCGAACTGATTTGAACCCTCGTGTCGCCATGATCCACAAGGCATAAGAAGTTGAAGGTCATGTGCACGCACGCACCATAACAACCCTAAACCCTTAATCCAAATTCGTCCCGGAAAGCCCTATCACCCTCACAGCCCTCAAACCCCTAAATCCTCAAGCCTTAAACCCAAACCTACCTAAACCCTAGACCCGTAATTAACTAAAGCCCTAACCCTATACCCCTGAAGCCCTGAACACCTAAACCCTAAACTCCTACACCCCTCTACCCCTAAACCCTGAAGTTTGTCTCCCCTGCGTTCGGCATCCACGAAGCTGAGGCTGCCACAAAGACCCAGAGGACACAGAGACCTGCTTGGAGGTTCATGGGTAGTTATAAGTGGGGTTATAAGTCTCCTAATATGGGTTATAAGTGTATATATAGTTACTCCACTTAGAACCCTACTTCTAACTACCCATGAACCTCCAAGTGGCCGACAAAGCGAGGGCACGGTAGGGTTTAGGGTTTAGCGCTTGGGGGTCTAGATAGACAGATAGATAGACGGACAGCCAGACAGATGGACAGACAGATAGATAGAAGGCTAGATAGATAGAAGGCTAGATAGATAGAAGGCTAGATAGATAGAAGGCTAGATAGATAGACAAATGCATATACAGAATAGACAAACGTACAGACAGCTAGATAGATAGACAGGAGGACTGGAAGGCGACAGACAGATAGACAAATGGACGGATGGACAGATGAATGGTAGACAGATAAGATAAGGTAACGCAAGGTAAGGTAATGTAAGGTAGGGTAAGATAAGCTACTTGGAATCCTCGCTGTGTTATAACTAGTTATCTAGGTTAACATGAGTTAAGTATTTTTTTATAACTAGTTAGGTGGAGTTAGCTAACTAGTTATAACTCTGTTTTTGGGTGTGGCTTTCGTGGCAAATACTTACACTAAATATATGGGATTGAACAGCCATGAAGTATGGGAGCAATGTGGAAATCGGCTGGCCATATAGGCTTTCACATGGGTTATATGTCATATGTAGCTGGCCATATATAGGCGGTGTCATGGATATCTTGTGAGCAAGAGGGCCTTTTAAAAAAAGAATGAGAAAGGCATCAGCTGAAAGCTTATACAAACCATGCATGAAAACGAACCCTAAACCCCCCTTTGGAAGTCCAAATCTCCAGGTAGGCACGATGATCAGGGCGAAACCCAAACCTGCACTCAATAGGTGAAGCATGGATGTTTTACAGCCTGCAGTTGAGCTGGTACGGGATGAGCACCGTGGCCTCTTGGTCTGAGGCTTTACTATACAGCAGTGGGTACTGGATGGAGTCGATGGGAACGAAGCCTTGCTCGTTCGTGATGGTGCATTTCGCAGAGTGGGATGCTTTGTTCACCGTGGGAGTCCACCGCTGGAGAAGTGTGACCTGTTGAGCACCCACTTCCAAGTGGAACCAAACTTGGCCGACTTCCCAACGTCCGTCTTGCTGCTGGAAGACAACCACATCGTGGGCATGAATGGTGCCACCTTTGGCAAGCTTCGCACTCGAAGCAACCATGGCTTCGTTCAATGGGCCATCCACGAAGTCGCGGAGGACTTGGACTTGCTGCTTGGTAGCTTTCTTTGGCTTCAGCAGCTGGCAGGTGTCCGGGTGCAGACCTGGCTCCTTCAAAGTGGTGATCTCCATGGCCACGACCTGCTGCATCAAATGGCTTTCGAAAGCCGTGGTCTTCTGCAAGTTGGTGGCATACTTGGCAATGGTTTTGTGCTTGCGCTCAGTGGTGAAAGTGCTTGGCAACATCCCATACCTCTCCAAGAAATCAGGCAGGTGCAGAAGCCAGTGCCACTTCTTTATTAAGGAAACTCCGAAGTTGGCTTCCACGAAACTCTGGATGGCCAACTCAGCAGCTGGTAGTAGGCTTGCCCTGGTAGTGGCCCCATACATGGTTCCTTGGTGCACCTGGTCGAGCAGGTCTGCATGGGCCAAGAATGCCTCGCAGGCCTTAATGGGGCAGCCGCCCACCGGCATAACCATGGTGTGGAGATAATGCCGCACAATGGGGAATATACTCAAGAGGTCGCTGGCCTGGCAGGAAAACTTATAACTTGCCTGGTGTTTGCTCACCATCCTGGAGGAAAACAAAGCTTTCAGGTGCCCTGCTTTGGAAGCCCCTGGACAGGACCAGAGCTGGATGTACTTTTCCATGGAATCCCAAGCATTGAAACCCATTGCCATGCCAATGGTCTCCATTGTCTGGAAGAGGACGACAGGGCCAGTGCCTTGCAAGATCCCATGCATCCAATCGTGGCAAAACTGGCTCACTGGTCGAATGTGGCCTCTGGACAACAGCGGCTGGTTCAAGAGGAGGGCATGGGCATTCCACGTCCACCCTGCGGCCTGCTGCCAGTGCTGGAAATCCGCCTTGGTGCATGTTTGCTGCCGTTGGTCCAAACGATGGTAGGACTGGATGACCTCAGTGTCGGTTGTCAAGCGCAGTTGGTGGTATTTGGTCGTCGCATGGTCAATGACATCCTGGCCTGCAGCCATGGTGGCTGCTGAGTGGATGTTTGCGCATAACATGCAAAATCGGGTACCAGCGTCGCCTTTGGAAGACCAGATCTGCTTCTGGGCAGCCCCATCAGCGAGGCATATACCCCAATTGAAATGGAGGCGGATGTTGCCCATGGGCCCATGTGGACTTTTCAAGAGCAGGCCTCCACATGGTTCAGCCATGGGGCAGCAAAAGATGGCTTCCAGAATCTTGGCGAACACCTGGCCGATGCCACCTGGCAATTGGGCCACGAAGGTGGATCTTTCTAGGCTGATGGTCAGCCACATGTCTTCGTGGCCCATGGCTTCTTGGCCTAGCTGGAGGAATGTGGCGTAAATGGCCCATAGCTTGCGTTCAGCACGACCAAGAACATTGCCAGGGATCACCTCGTCGCAATACAAGATCAAGGACCAGGGCTGGTCCAGCGACGAGGGATTGGCCGCATGCTTCCTTTGGAGCAGATCATGGAAGCTGCCCCCCATGGCGAAAAGACTGGTGATATAGACCAGAAGGTTGGCAAAATGGATGGTCACTGTGGCACCGTCGCTCATGGGCAGTTCTGCCTGCTGGATCAATGGTCCCAAGGGGGCCGCCATCACAGCTTTCAAGAAGCTGTTGCCGTGCCTTTCGCTGGTCGTTGGAAGAACTGGCTTCCGGGAGGCCCTGCTCTTTGGCTGCTTTGACGAAGCCCGCCAAAGCACTTTGGGAATGGCCTGGCAGGCTGGCCTTGAACGTCAGAAGGTGTTGAAGTTTGGCTTTCTTTTTGGAAGGCTCCATGGTCACCCAGGGCTTCGGACAGTGCCTACTTGGTTTACAAATGATGGATCCGAACTTCTTATATATATATATGTATGTAAACACATACTTTAAGATATTTCGATGTATCTGAGCTGTCTGCATCCATCTGGTGTGCACGTAATCAACGGGAAACGTTCCATCGACAAGCATATATATATATATATGCACGGTTTTGCAGAGGGGAGCTCGGGGCACCATGTTCAAACTAGTCCTGCATGCATTGCCTCTGCTGGTACTTCTTGTTTGGAGCAACAAGCTTCACGGACAGAAGTCATGCATTCTCAGAGCTGGCAGGACAGAAATGGAAAGGGCACTCACCGATTGCTATGTCGCCAAAAAGAAACCCTGCATGCCATATAGAGGCCCTTTGTCAGGAATATATGATTCTTGCAGTATCATACCTCAAGAGAAATACATATATTCCAGCTACAAGAAGAAATTGACCGTCCACAGACGTCAAATTCATGCTCGCACATGAAATATATATATATATATATATATATATGTATAGATATAAAAGTATATATATATATATATGCATATAAGACTATATATACATATATGTATATATATATATATATATATATATTTATACATATAAATATGTATATTTATTGCATGTATATAGGCATATATTTTTCAGTTATTGAATGAAAAGCGAAAGTAATTGGAGAAATAGAACCTTATTATATATGCGACATAAACCATTGTATACACCATTTCTATATATATATATATATATATATATATACGTGTGTGTGTGTCTGTGTATCTCTACACGGAGACGACAGCGAGAGAGAGAGAGAGAGAGAGAGACAGAGAGAGAGAGACAGAGAGAGAGAGAGAGAGAGAGAGAGAGAGAGAGAGAGAGAGAGAGAGAGAGAGAGAGAGAGAGAGAGAGAGAGAGAGAGAGAGAGAGAGAGAGAAAAAAAAAAAAAGAGAGAGAGAGAGAGAGAGAGAGAGAGAGAGAGAGAGAGAGAGAGAGAGAGAGAGACGAGCATTGCATGCAAAGCAAACAACTTGCGAGAAACTTTTGCCCCAATGCAAGGCCCGTGGTTAAGCCAACGGATCTGGTCAGCCAAAATGGCCAATTATGGTGACACGGGAGGTCTCCCCGCCATGGCCCTGGAGCTCACTTGGCCATCCTGGCCTTTCGGGCCATATGGGCCCGATAGGCTTCTCGGCCTGGGAGCCGCAGGCCTGTGTACGTTGGGCTCAGGCACTGCCCACAACCGCTTGGATTCCCTCGGCATTTGGGGCACCCGAAAATCGGTGGATCCCGCTTGTGCGGCGGCAGGTGGTCCTGGTTCTTGGCCACTGGCTTCGCTTGGTTCGCCTTTGCCTTGGGGGTGGCCTTGGCCTTGGCCTTAGCCTTGGGATTGGCCTTAGCCTTGGGATTGGCCTTAGCCTTGGGATTGGCCTTGGCCTTGGCCTTGGCTTGGCTGGCCTTCGCTTTGGCTTTTGCCTTTGGCACGGCCTTCTCTTTGGCCTCAAGCTTCCTCTTCCTGAGTTCCTCGAAGTGCTGGTCCTCAAACTCCTGCAAAGTCTTTGGCTTGGAATTGCAGGGCTTCTCCGTACACAT